TATGTTTAATTCTACAAATGCTGATAAGTGCTACGATTTTTTTATAAGTACTTTCAAAAATGCTTATTCCACTTCATTTCCAATCAAATGCATCCGTCGAAACAAGAAAGCTAGGAAGCCGTGGGTAAATGGTCACCTTTTGAAACTCATTAAAAAGAAAAACGTACTTTATGACTCTTTTGTGAAAACACGAGATGAAGAAAAATTACGCGAATTCAAAAAGTTCAGAAATTTTGTTAATGCTCAATTAAGACAAGCTAAACAGCTTTATTATGCGGTTAAATTCGACTCATCCAGTTTAAGGCAGCCCGATATGGTCTGGAAGCAACTGCATTCTCTTCTGCGTAGCCAATCTAAAGATACAGCCATCGTTAACATGACTATAAATAATGAAATTATTTCCGGCAATGAACTTGCAGATAAATTCAATGATTACTTTGTGAGTGTCGGGAATAGCACTTACAATAGTAATGCCAAAGATAACGTCTCCCGCACTAGCGAAACTATTTTTTTGAATCCCACAGATACTGCAGAAGTATCCTCGGTGTTTATGAATATGAAAAATAGCCGTAGTCGTGATTGTGATGACCACTTAATCAAACCTGTTAAATTTGTACTAGATTTGATATTACGATGCATAACTCATTTGTATAATCTCATATTATCATCTAGTGTATTTCCTAAAAACATGCAAGTGGCTAAAGTTTCTGTCCTCTATAAGGTCGGGGATAAAAATGACATGAGTAATTATCGCCCCATATCGATTCTTCCTGTATTTTCGAAACCAATAGAAAAGATAATATATTCTCGACTAATAACCTTTTTTGAAAAATATTCTGTGTTGACGGACTCGCGATTCGGTTTCAGAAGGTGTAGGTCTACAGAAACTGCTTTATTAGTACAAAAAGAGACAATATTAGAAAATTTCGAGAGTAAACTTTTAACGTTGGGGATCTTTGTAGACTTCAGCAAAGCATTTGACCGGATAAATCACAGAACTCTTCTTGATAAATTAGATTGTTATGGTATTCGAGGAGTTCCATTAGCACTCATTTCGTCCTATTTACAGTACCGTTCCCAATACGATCAAATTAATAATAACAGATCTTCTATGCAACGCATTAGTTCCGGGGTCCCTCAGGGAAGTATTCTAGGCCCATTATTGTTTATCACTTATGTTAATGATATTGTAAATATTGAAACGTCTGCTAAATTTATTATATACGCGGATGGTACCAGCACATTTTTTTCTGATTCTACGGAAGGGGTGCTCACTTTCAAAGCGAATTATTTTTTAAATAAATTAAAATCGTGGGTAGTTATGAATTCCCTTGTTATTAACACATCCAAAACAAAGGCAGTTTTATTTCAGTGTCCAGGACCACGCATCAGGTTGTCGCGCGATTTGTTTTTGGGGGATTGTGCGATAGAGTGCGTCGATAGTATAAAGACGTTGGGAGTAATATTTTCTTGTCACATGTCCTGGAATAATCATGTTGCCTATATTCATAAAAAGCTATGCAAAGTTGTCGGAATACTGAATAAATTCAGGCACATACCTCCGGTAAATATTAAAAAAGTAATTTACAATGCTCTGTTTTACCCTGTGCTCTGCTACTCCCACCTGGTATGGGGTTCGACTACAAAGGGCAACATTAACAAACTACGCCTATTACAGAAAAAGGCACTCAGGATAATGGAAAATGTTCCGCGTGACTATCATTCCCTTCCTCTTTTTGAAAAACATAAGGTCATTGATATAACCAATTTGTATGCACATAGACTGATAGCTAATTATCAATGATCCGTAAGAGAAAATAATGTCATTTCTTTAGATCTTGGTAATCTAGATGCAAACGAGTCTGTATATCCATCGCGACGTAGGCCCCCCTGGCGTATTCCCTTTTCAAGGACAAATTTTGGTCTACAAAGATATCGCCACCAGTTACCACTTTTATTAAACACCCTGTTTTCCCGTGATATTGAAATGCACTCCGTTAGTCATTATTCCATTCAAGAAACTTTATAATAAGTAACCACCACTTTTTTGTATATTGTTGATTGCGAAGTTGAATTCTTTATGTTTTCCTCGTGTTTATCCTCTGTATATGTGTATGCCTATGTGTGTGTGCGCATATTCGTTCTTTTTTGTATGTGTGTGCCGGTGCCGCTTTTACCTTGTTCTGGGGTGCTGGGACTCGTCAAGCTGCAGACCTGCAGCTTTTTTTCCAGCGCCCCTGTCACAAATGTACCGTTTGTGGCAAAGATAAACGAATTTGAATTTGAATTTGAATATAAATTGTGAAATTCCTGCAATTCTGCACACAAACGACAACACCAAAGTTTGATGCCAACAACTGCTACTAATTGAATTCCATCGCCACCTTATGCAGTTTTAGACTTGCACGTTTTGCGGTGTCAGTAGTAGCGCCATTGCCTTCACTGCCTGCAAGCCGGACAGAAACAGACACTGACGCACAGATAACTTATACTTTGCAAGGTGATTGGTTGATCGGTTTCTGTTACCATGGCGATCGCCATTTTGACCCTTTCGAATACTCGTAATTTCGAAAGGGCAGTCTGAATCAATCATGTTTATCTTCACATGCATCTTACAGTGATATTGGAGAGTTTTAGTAATACGTATCAGAGCAAACGCAAGCACCCTACGTTAGCGTTAACGCTGCGTGCTCCACACTGCGCATGAGCCATGCGTACGTACTGCAGCGAGCTATGCGTACGTACGCTCGCAATCGCTTTTTGCGAGCGTACGTAGCGGTCCCCTGCGTGCCATTTTGGTTGTCCTCGTCGCGCACGGGAAAGTGCGAGACCACTCCAGTTTGGAAAATGGCGGCGGTGAGGCAAACCAGTGCAAGTGCTACGCGCGTTGTACGGGTTCGCTTCACCATTGAAGATGACCTCAACCTTGTGGAAGCAAGAGAAAGAAGTAGAGAAATAGGGCGGGGCTCGTGGCGGGCGAGGACACGCGGAGTTCGGAGCTGGAGACGGACGAAAGAGCTGGTGCCGAGCAAGGCCTCCAACTGAAGACCCGGCCCACTGACAGCCTTGGCCCTCCTCTTCATTGGACTCTGAACTTAAGTACAGATAAAACCTTTTCCCGATGGTAGCGCTTCCCCGTGTTACTTCCTCGGAGCAAGTGGAACTCGGCCTGATCGGGCGGTATTGACAGGCGACCCACAACCCCCTCAAAGAAATCAACGCGACGAACCCTTTCGAGCGCCCACAAAGATGGGTGTCGGTAGCCAATAACTTTGGCGGCGCCGTCGAACCCAAAAACGTGTTTACCGTGCGGTCGGTACGCGAGCGGTGCGACCTATTGCTTGCATACTTCCAAGCAAATGTCGAGGCCAACATAAGATAGTAGGGATCCACAACACACTGGAGCGAACCATAGATCGAACTGCTGGTCGCACAGAGATTCACGCACTTCGCAGCAAAGCGAGGGGATTCGCGGCGTTAAATTGGCTTGACCGAATACCCGCCTAGGATTGTTTCAAGCAGTTCGCAGGAGCACATCTAGATGGCGCAGCAAGTCTTTACGTATGTGCTTGCCTTCCTTTATACTAAAAGTGCGCGTTCAACGCGCTCCGTAACGTTACGTCGACAGCTTGCGTGCGTTGTACGCAGTGCTAGCGCAAGGGTCATTATGCTTTTCTAAAAGTCTCTATTTTTCTTCTTGCGTATCTCTCGACAGAAAACTTGTTTTTCAATGCCGCCAAGCACCGACGCCGCATGTGGTGGCGGTGCAAATATGTTCGCTTGTTTTGCCGGTTTTTGGATATCAAACTCGCTCATACAAAAAAATATCATACTCATAGAACAGCTTGTCAGTACGAATTTCAACAGACCAATCTCACTAAGCGTTCGGCGTATGCGTGACGCCGCCATAACTTTAGTTCACGGGAGTCAGACTGCCGTGCATGCGAGGGCTCGTGCCGTCTCGTGCTCCAAACGGGCAAAGCTTCAGAAAAGTTGTTGAACGTGCAGAATGACTAAAGTTCCCTCGATGCATTGCCGTAGTGGTGGCGTAGTCAAACAGGCTGGTGAGATCGGTCTATTGGCTCACCAAGAATGTAGAGGTCAAGGAGAACCTGCTGACTACCTAGACCAAAATGGCGACCAAACAGAAAGTTTTGCGCTCCAGTCACTCTAAGCTCACCAAGAATAATTTTTTTAGCGGCATTTTGGGTTGGAGTTGTGAATAGATGAAGGGCTTAAAGGTGGAGGAGGTGCATGAACTGACACAAAGAGAGGAATACAGGCAGTGCATGTTGCGCTTGCCACCAACTGCGCCCTCTGCACCTGCAATGTTTGGGGGAGGGGGAGGGTGTATTGCTGTATGTATCTGTATCTATATTCCGGAATACTTGTTTGCCGTTTTTGCAACAGTATCAATGATATCTCGTTACATAAAACACATATATATCCCACTATCGGCATTTTGACCTAGAACTACTTATTTTATTTAGATAAGTAAACAAATTCAGTATTTGTACCCTAGAATACTATTTTGAATATCTCTCCCCAACCTGATGGAAGATAGCTACTGGTTCCTGACAATTATATTTCTTCAAATCGAGGCAACAGGTAAATTCAATAAAAAAACAGGACTAGTACTTTATTTATTTTCAATTTTAAGAACACTTTAGGTAGGCGGGCATAAACTGTCGTATGGCATTGCTTAAATGGATGGATGCAAGTTCTAGTAGAACGTAATTTATCATTTCGCTTAAAACCTGATTAAAGACTATGATTTCTACCTTTCAAGGGTGTATCTTTTTTAAGGAACATGGTTCATATAAAATAGCTCGACAATTTTATACTCGAATAATATAACGAGTGAGCACACACAATCCCACCTCTATTAAAGCGAAAAGCAAACAAACAAAAAGGCGCAACGTGCTTCTATAAATATGTTGAAACACATGCAGTTCAAAACATTTGCCATGAAGAAGTATAAAATACAAAAACATCCCAATTCACGCCCCTTTGCAGCTGCACAGCTTCTGCGCTACGCTGGGAGGCAGGCACCGTGTTCGATTGCTGTACCAGTCCATCCGTTCGACAAACTCCACCGGTTTCTTCTTGCTACCGGCCTTGAGATGTAGCGTACCGAACACCTGAAACTGGCCCTTGGGCTGTGTGGTGAACACCACACGGAACCATCTCGTCTTTGAGGCGACCCCACGCATGATCGTGGCATCAAGCACCGCGTCCAATGTCCATGTGGCGCACATGCCGGGGAAGTGGCGCTGCGCCTCAGTGTTGATGAACGCGAGACTCAAGAGTGCGTACGGACGCGCCGTCGAGTTGTCCTCGATGCGTTCTTCAGCGCGCTCGCATGCGCAGAACTGGAAAGGGATGAGGGCCTCTTCGCACGTCCGCCAAGACGGAACTTGGCGGAAGAGGTTAAGACCTCTTGCGGTCGGCCTCGGGTCGAAGTCCGGCAGCGACGTCAGACTCCCTATAGTAGCGTGCACGTCGTACGGTGTGGTCAGTCGATTCCGATTGACTCGAAGGGACTCGACGACTCCGGGAAACTTGTTCTTGAACCAAGCTGGCAAAGATAGAAAGAAGAAAGGTAGGTTGACCTCGTGAGCGCCGATCGGTGTGTTCCGCATCGGAAGACTTCGCGCCCCGTGGTCGCTGAGGAAGAAGAGCGCCGTATTGTCAAATACTCCTCTGGATGACAACTTCTCCAAGAAGTCTCTCAGTGGCTCGTCCATGATGCCGGCTGCGTTGAAGTCCGAATGTGACCAGTCGCCTAACCAAAGAAATACGAAGAAACGTTGCTGGCGCATCAAAACGATGAGGTCGGCTATGTAGTCCAGATATATCTCGCTTATGAGACGGGTGCCCGAACAACCAGACATCCTCCGGAATGATTGGTAGAAGGCCTTTACGATAGGTAAAGGGTAATAATCCGTTGGACGTCGTCGGAAGCCTTTCCTGGCGGGGTAGATAAAAAGCCACCATTCCGGCATTTCTTCCATAAAAACCGTCAGGTAGCCCTTCCGCTTGAAAGTAGTCCACAAAAATGGAACATGGTCGAAGGTACGGTTCTTTGTCATACTCGCAACCTCTTCATCGGAAAGGCCGGAAAGAAGCGCCATTAGGTTCGGAAATGTATTCTCCCCGATCTTGTTGTAAGCGACCAGCTCGAAAGCCTCCAGAGATTCGCGTACAAACTTGCTGGATTGCGGGAGGCGTCTGTTCATATTGAGACGCGATACGCTGTCCATGCCGAGAATTAACACGTTCATTTGATCACTGGAAGCGTTATATTGGCTCCTCTTGAGCTGCGGAATCAAATGGAAGCCGCTGTAGAACTCGGCATGACTCGAGTTGCACCGTATCCTGACGAACTCGTCACGAAGCGGTCGTCCAAACGATAACGATGATTCGGGTCCCAGAGCAAATGAGTTATCAGGCGGGCTGGCACTGTGGTTTCTGGTAACTCTGGAGTAGAAACACGAAACGTTGGTCGTTGAAATCTTGTAGATATTTTTTACAAGAAATTCGTCGAGCATCGGGACGTTTGTGTCACGGAAAACAACGGGAGGATCTTTGTGTTTACAGACCTTCTGCTTCCTGGTGAGGTTTTCCGTGAAAGGGAGGACGCCAATCGTGAAGGGATCGTATTTGGGTATCTTGCATCCCGGGGTGTCGATGAGATACCCTTGAGTCCCAAAGGCAAGCAGCAGGTAGAAATGCCTGATGCCGGCAAGTGCGATTCCGCAGGGCACAAGAGATAAAAAAAAACGTCCGGTCCTTGATTTGAGCGATCGATGACTTAAAATCTTCATGGTTCCAAAGAAAATGGAATGCTCAGGCGTTACATATGAGGAACGATATTTCTTCTTTCTTTTTCTTTCTTTTTTTAGACCTGCATCACACAAGAAAATAAATATAAATCTTTAAAAAAGATGAAACTAATAATATATTCGAAAATTAAATAATTCACAACCCAAAATCTAAACGAGCGACCGAACTTGGATACGTTATAATTAGGCCGACGTTTTCCCGGTGTTTGCTTATAAGTCAAATCTGCGGATGCTTTCCGGTGTTTGTTCTTTTTTTTAATATTGGTGTATTTTGGCGATTAGCTTTGAGAGGACGCTGAAAAAGGGGATTGTTGTTGAGTTGAAAGCTAGGGTGAAAGTGTTTGAAAAAAAACGGTTTTAGCTGAAGCACCAATATCTAGAAATAGTTATGTTTCGGTTATAACCGATTCTCTATTGCTAACACCAACGGTCGTTCTACGGTTCTCGCCGATTTTATATTTTTGACACCGACAGCAGACGTTTGTTTGTATTTTTCGGCTAAAACCGAAACATTTACAGCTTAGGTTACAACCTAATCTACCACAACGGCAATGACAACGAAGTTAAAACAGTAATTCATTCCACGGCAGCGTTATAGCCTCCGAAATTGCGGGTGTGGAAAGATTTCTTCTGCCGCTTCATTCCACGGGGACCGACGTTCTTAGATCCATCAGCTGACAAATTCAACGGAAAAGCGTCGTTCGAAAACGGCTCTTCTGTTTAACCCACACGCGAGCGAGTAGTCGCTCTGCGGGCGGAGAGCGATCCTAGCGCCACCGCTTACGGCAAGTTCCTTTGTTTACTCCACCACGAGAGCATGGAAAGCTTGCCAGCTCAACCGTAGGTGCTACGGTGCGTTTGATTTTTTGAACCAGCTTTCGAACGTTTGTCGAATACCGGTTCGATCTTCAAACGCCTGACATAAGAATCGCAGCACACCATAAAATACTCGCCTCCGAGCACAGCGTACGTGCTTCAATATGCTTACGTTTCTTCGTTTCTCCCATACCTGGTGTCAAGCAATGGCTACCGGTGGCGACACCGACGGGCTCCCGATCCGCGATCCAGCCTATTACAGTAGAGATCAGTGGACCACACACCTATACTCTGTTTCACCTTGTGTCGTACCGCAGGACACCTACAAGCGCGAGCTCCTTGCTCCAGGGCACATCTCGGCGGCACAAGCTCCCGTGCACCAAGGGCAGCTGCCAACGCTATGAGCTCGCGCTTCTGGTCTTCGCTGCGGTACAACATAAGGCGAAACGGAGTATAGACGCTTTACACACGCGCCAGAATACAGCCGCCATTGCTGACCTTCTCTTGTTTCACCGAGATACCGAGCCACTGAAATTGGTGTGGACGAGCCTCCAGAAAGGCCAATGCTGGGGAGCAATACAGAATAAAACAAACCTAAGATGTCAATAACCTGGCCTGCTATGGTAATAATGAAGTGAAGTAAGCGTAATAAGGGGGAACAAAAACTGAAGCTCAGTTATGGCGGCGCTCATGCACAGCTGCTGCAAAGCGTCTATAGGAGATGCCTCGGAATGCGGTGTGGTTGGCGGGGCCGCGTATGCGAAGACGGTGCAGCTGCCGCCGTCAAGCCGGTTTCCGCAGTTCTTCGTTGTCGTCTTTTTCGATGTAATCTCAAAAAGTGTGCCGCAGTTCCCTATAATAATAATTAAAAAAAAACGTCGTTTTAGCCAGGCGCAGTCGATACTACAAGCGCGAGAATGCGGCCCTGAACTTCTAGTACACTGTACCTGAACAGTGCTTGCACTTTACGAGCGCGCGTGCTTGGCAGGGACGCTGAAAGCCCGGAGATCGCGCTTGTAGCATCGGCTGCGTCTCGACCTAAGCTGAAACAAAGTATAGTGAAGTATTTTGCCGATCTTCTGTTTGAACGATTAGTGGGTAGACCTACAGATAGCAACCTTTCTGCCCATCACAACTCGTCGAACGGGTTAGAACGTGGAACTAGGTCGTCCGGTGTCAGGTAGGGGCATGTGCGCATTGCATAAGGTGATGACATATGGCCAATCTGTTCCGAACGCTTTATTATTATTTTTTTTTATTTATTTATTTATTTATTTTTTGTGGAGAGGGGGACGGTGTTCCGCCCAAAAAAAGCGTCTCCCTGCACGCTCTTTTGGCGTTGACTGTGCTACGGCGGCATTTTGTTTTCGAAGATGTATTTTTCTGTTTCCTGTGAGCGCGTGCTGTAGGTATACTGTATACTACAAAGGATGGCTTAACCCTAAATAGAAGAACGTCGAGGCATCCTAGTTTTTGGCTTTCGAATTTGAACCCGTTCGACGAGTGCAGTGGAGACAAAGCTAGCCATTATCTTCACTGCACTCGTCAAACACGTTAGAACGCAGAACACCGGCGCCCGGTGTTTGACTCTCGCATTCGAGCGCGTTCGACGAGTGCAGTGGAGACAAAGGCAGCTAGCCTTAAGCCTATCCACTAATTATTCCAATCAGCGCTCGGCGCTCTGGTGGCCCTGCGAGATCTCGCCTCTTCCTCTCCTTCAGTTTCTCGGCGCATAGACCGATCTCACCAGCCCGTTTCGCTACGCCACCGCTTGCTGCGATGTATCGAGAGAACTCTAGTCTTTCTGCACATGCGATTTCTTCTCTCAGGTTCTGCGCTAGCATGGCGCGAGACGGCACGAGCTGTCTCGTGTACTGCCGTCTTCTGGCCTGCCTACCGTAGGCTAAAGTGTTGGCGGCGTCACGAATGCGTGGTTCGCTTAGTGAGATTGGTCTGTTAGCAATGTAGGCCAAGTAATTGCGTTGTATGTATGTTTAGACAGCCGGAAGTTTCTCAACCTCAATGGGCGAGAAATTTAGCCAATGCAGTACAACCGCTAGGCTGGGGTCTTTTATGTGCACCAAGCAGAGTGACCGCACGCCGGTATGATTCTGATCCACATCGAAACGGGCAGAGGTGGGGATGGAATCCAGTATCCTTGGGTTCTGGGGCACCCGATTTCACTCTTCGATATCCGCGATCAAAAGCGTCACCGTGGCCAGCGTCCCGTGATTGATCAGACGACAAACTTAAGAACACTGCCAGACTGCCAATTTTGTCGGTGATGGTTTAGGAAAGCGATGGCTCCTAGCTTCCACCGTGCCTTTTACACACACCGTCGAACTTGACGTCAAAACTGATGGTAGGTTAACAAGATCACTATTGGCGACGTGCGCGGCCGAAAGCGTCGCTGCGGTCGGCCTTCCACGATTGGCCGAACGCTGACTATGACGTCGAAAAAGGATTTATCAACGACGGAAATAAGAGGAATGAAAGAACTTTAATTTTGACGGTGTTGGCAGTGTTCCTTTGAGAGCGCAATAATTTCAAGCTTTTACCATGCTATTTACAAGCACCATCAAACTTGTTGTTTGCAAGGTAATGACGTCACACGGGGGAACCATAGGAGGGCGCCACCAAAACATCTCGCCGCTAATAGGAAGTATTCACTGGCGGCCATAGCTGTGTGCGCGACTGCTGAGCGCGTCCTGATGACTAGCTTCCAGGGTTCTTTTGCAACGTGCATTCCACACCGTCAAAATGGCCGGTCTTAGCAGCCTATTAATGGGGGCTCGTTCTGAGCATGCGCTCTAGACAGCACCCACAAATATGGTGCCCAGTGAATGCTCCTTATTCGCGACGTTACGGCGAGGAAAATTCGTGACGTCACGCATGAAAAGCATGAAAGGCTCCCACCGAAGCACCTTTGTGCAAATAGGGACATTTCGAAGATCGTGGGCCTCGATTGCGGGTCCTGCGGGCGCACGCTCAATCGGTAGTCCATGTAACGGCACAAGCTCCCATTAGCAACGGAAAACTAGCTCTTGCTTACGGTACACCAAAAGTCTATGGCTCGTCTAGCACAGCGCAAACTGATTAAGTAGAAGGTCGTTTCATCACTCCCAGATTCACACAGCATGAGCTTTTCAACTTTCTTTCTTTAATTAATAACTGTAACATCGCTGTACTGAGTGGTAGTAGCGGTAGAAAAGCACGTTCATGAATCATAAAGGTTGGTTCACACAATTATCTCAATCAGGCCGAGTGCTACTGCAATGACTTGCGCCATTCATCATTTTACGCATTGTTATGGCAGCAGCTGCGTCGGCTTCAACAAAACCGGGCAAAAACTAGGGATGCCGCGAAATTTTTCGAACCGAAGTTTCAATGATCGATTCAAGCGGACGGAAGTTTTAGAATTTTCGAACTTTCTATTTCAAAAAACATCTACGGAAGTCGAACTTCCGAACTTGTTCAGCTAACAAGTTCAACGCTTTTTGGAATTTCAAACTTTCCACGTTTAGAAATGCAATATTTTTCGAGCCTTCGAGCTTATTACGCTAAAAGTTCGATCGCGTTCGATCCGTTTCGAACTTCCGAACTTATTGCGTTGCGAAATTCGATGCTTGGCAAGCTTTTATTCATTCATTCATTTATTTACCCGTTAAAGGTCCTCTTTCGGGGACATTACAAAAGGGGGGGGGGGGGGGGATCAATCACATATCGATCAACGAAAGAAACAATGAAACAGCAAAAAACAATGGAAAAACAACTATTTCATCAACAAACACGCACTCAATAATAATTCACCCAGGGAACCAAACATAGAGAGTAAACAGCTCAGTCAGTATTCCCCATTTCAACCTCGATAGACGATTTTCGAACTTCCGCATTTCTTGCACTAAAACGTTCGACACTATTCGAGCTTTCGAACTTCCTACGCTAAGAAATCAATCATTTTCGAAATTTCAATCTGTCTAGAAAAATCGAACATTTCCGAACTTTCGATTTCTGAAAAGTTCGACGAACTTTTAGGGCCAAAGTTCGAACTTCGTCGAACTTTGAAAGACCGGCCAGCGGTTTCATTTAAATTCATTAAAAAAAAATAATAATAATTTTTACTTGCGGTGCCGCATTCCTTGCCAAAGAAAATGCCGTTTATTTCA